TTTATTTTAAGTTATTTTCAAATTATTTTTAACTTTATCAAACATTTCCTAATTTATTTTAATTTATTTTTATATTTGTCAAATAGTTCAGAAGTTAAAAACTAACTCAAAAGTAAATTTGACATTTTTAAGTTAATCCAAACATACTTTAAATCGAACGTTCCCTTATCAAACTATCTAGGGTTTTGGTATATAAAAGCGCCGACAACGTCCTGAACTAGATTAGACCGCATATTTCCACGGTGAACCTCAGAGTTCCAGTTCCGATTCCGATTCGTTGAAAACTTTCTTGAAAAGCACCGACAAACGTCTTCTTGTCAATGGAGGAACAAAATGGGACTGCAAATGGTGTTAAAATCAAGCTGGAGGAAGAGGAAACTAATGACGACCTAAGAGCTACTCCTGACCATCAAAACGATGCCGGCGCTTCTCAACCTCTTACCGGAGATGGTGCTAGTCCTGGGTATTTTTTTTTTACTGTTTTGTCCTTTCTTTCCCTTTTACGCTGTATCGTTTTGCTTTTATTTAAGAACCAGTTTGTTCTTTTAGCATTGTTGTTAGGGCTTGCGTCTAATGGGTATTAACTTACAAGTGTTGTTAATGTCGAGACGGTTAAGACCCGAAGCTAGGTTATAAGCTCCTTACTGAAGAGGGCGGGAGGAAAACCATAAATATAGTTAGTAAATTGATGTATTAGTTCTCAATTAAACAAGGCGAATAACTCTGTTGATGATTAGGAATATAAATTTAGATTCGAAATTTCATCATTGTGTATGAATCAGAGTTTAAAACGTTGTTTGGACTTGATCTTAGTTATTTTTCAATTTCTTAGTCCCCATAACTTTTAATTGTGTTACATTTATATTTCTTACATTTTTGCTTTCCTTCTTGGAGAGGAGTTTGTGGAGGGCACGGATTAGGGTAGAAGATTAGTATGTGCAAGTGCATTGTCTTGCTCTTCGTCCATTAGTAGTAGTATTATATCTTGTAGTTTTTTGCCCTTCGATTTTTGTTACTATTTGTTGAATCTTGTACTTTGACTTTTATATTGTTTTGTTATAATACTGTTATTTTACCATCTGTTGTTGTTTTTGTTAGTGTTTCCTGCACTTCCATCATTTCTTTTTTTCTGAATGGCTTTGGACTGTTTTCTTGAGCCGGTGGTGTATCTAAAACAGTCTCTATACTTCTGAGGTAGGGGTAAGGTCTGTGTACACTGTACACTCCACACTCCACGCTCCTCATACCCCACTTTATGGTTGTTGCTTATCTACAACATACCCAATGAAATCTCCAAGTGAGGTCTGGTTGTTGTTGCTTGTCTATGCGTTCCATTTTGACAACACTGTTATTTACCGTCAGAGAGAGTTGGGAATACATATTTTCATGTTTTCTTTTATTCTGATTTGTATAGGATAAATTTTTTAATTTGATGACTTTCTTCTGTGCCCTTTTCAATTTCTTCCGATGTGAACTTCTTCTCATTGAAGTTACTTAGTTGTTGGTTGGGCATGCCTCACAGTTTTCATAGAATATTATCCTATTAATCAAGTTGCTCATGGTATTGTATTAATCAATGGATTTGGTGGCCATGCAGAAAGATTTTTATCGGGGGCTTGGCTAGAGAGACAACTTCAGGTTTGTCGAATAACATCCTCTGCTTTGATCTTCTGCCAAATTGTTCTTTCCTGCCCCTAATGTTGCATTGTATATCTGCAGCTCAATTTGTCAAGCACTTTGGTAAATATGGTGAAATTATTGATTCCGTGATTATGAAGGAAAGGCGGACAGGACAGCCACGTGGGTTTGGTTTTGTGACTTATGCTGACCCCTCCGTGGTAGATAAAGTCATTGAGGACGACCATGTTATAAATGGAAAACAAGTAAGATTACATTGGCCTTCTATTTTATTTCATTCTTATAGCAGTTTGTGATTTCATTTCCCTTTTATTTTACTGCGGATGGAACATTTGGGACCTCATGCTGATGTTTTGATTGTGTCAGGTGGAAATCAAGCGAACTATACCTAGAGGAGGAGGTTCCAGCTCAAAAGATTTCAAGACGAAGAAGATTTTTGTGGGCGGCATCCCAACAACAATTAATGAAGGTTATATTTCTGTAGCTAGAAACTGATCACCTTCCCTTAACTCGTTGGATTCTTTTGAAACAAGTTTCTGAGGTATTAAGTTGCATTTATATTTCAGATGAGTTCAGAGACTTCTTTTTAAAGTTTGGAGAGGTGAAAGAGCACCAGATCATGCGTGACCATTCTACTAGTCGTTCTCGTGGCTTTGGATTCATCACTTTTGACACAGAAAAATCTGTTGAGGATATCTTGGCTAATGGAAACAAGCTTGATTTTTCTGGGACCCAGGTCAGTATAGCCATAGTGTGTTCTAATTAAGGCGGTGATACTTTTTCTAGATTGTTTCATTAATCTTGTAAATTTATCAAGCTTTTCTGCCTTCTTCAAACATGATTTTGGTGGCAATGTTGCACTCTTAAGTATATGTGCTTTGTATGTTTTTTTCTTTATGTTCTAGGCCTTCTGACAAATGTCCTTAATTTGAAAAGGATTGAGTTTATGTTCTTTCTCGATTTTCTTGAAAAGAATTAATGAAACTGACTGCAAAACCCAATGAAATATCAATGATATGTATTTGGGTAGCAATGTGTCTATGTTCATTGTGACTTGGTACTTTTGCATCTTTTGTCAAACTCATCATTGAGTTGAGATGCTTAAGTTGTCTTAACTGTATTGAGGCTCAAGAAGTTGAGAATTGTTCTTGTGTATCCATACAAGCTTATTTTCTTAGTGATGATGCTCAAGTTACTATGGTTTGGAAATAATTAATAATTGAAATGATTCTGCTTATAGTAGTTGAACATTCATCTGTTGCATGATCATGTTATTTTCAATAGCTTTTTGAAGCTTGGTTAACCTAAACAGTTTTCTACTTGGCAAATAGGTGGAAATCAAGAAGGCTGAGCCCAAGAGACCTAATGCGCCACAACCAGCCCCATTCAGGCGTCAAGGGAATCCAAGAGCTGCATTTGGTGGTGGATTATCAGATGCTTATGGTGGATATGGAGACTCTGGTTATGGTATTGGTGCTGGTGCTGGTCCTTATAGGTCTGGTGGCCCCTATGGTGGCAGATCCAGTGCATTTGGTGGATATAGTGGAGCAGGAATGGGTGGATATGGAGCATATGGTGGCGGTGGTGCCTACGGAGGAGGCTTCAGGGAGGAGGCTTCTTTTGGGTATTCTAGCCGTTATGGCAGTGGAGCCTTTGGTAGAGGCTATGATGTTGGTGGTGGATATGGAGGAGCAGGTGAAGGTTATGGAGGATATGCTGCTGGTGGCGGTGGATATGGCGGTGGATATGGTGCTGCTGGTCTTGGCAGTGGGTATGGAGGAGATAGTGCTGGAGGTTCAATGTATGGAAGTAGTAGAGGAAGCTATGGTGGTGCTGGTGCTGGTTCAGGCAGATACCACCCTTATGGGAGATAGAAAGTGAAATGTTGAAGGTGCAAAGCTGAATTGTCTCTGGCTTGGTGATTTTAAGCTTATGACCAGAGATGTATACTCAATCAAGCACTTGTTGAGAGCTAAATCTTGTTTGTTTTTTTTCTTGTCGAATTTTAATTGATAAAATATTAGTTCAGTTAATATACTGGTGTCTTTGATATCGATTGGTTTATCAAGGAACATGATTCATCCATCTTCAGCTATCTGCAATCCTCAAGCAACATTGTCAAACTGATCTTCAATTCTTTTTATTCGTTTGGGCAAATTAGTTGGACTAAACGAGTAAATTTTGCTTTGATGGATTCTAGTGACTGTCAAAACGAGCAAATGATGATTTTATATTCTGATCTTCTAGTGTGTTTCTTATCATTTATATATACTTATTTGAGAATCGTATGATAAAAATATTTAGGCACCGTTCTATATGAAGGAAAACGTTTCTGATTTTTCATCGTCTATACTGTCGAGTGACGATTGAAAATAAGTAACGTTTCATATTTTTCGTTCGTGCTGAATATACCCATAATGTAGATGGGCCTTTCAATTGCGATATTTTTAATAACAAATGGAGAACAGTAGACGTGTCATCAAAAGATAAAAACAAAAAAAGGAGTAAACCCGTAGCCACACGATTGGAGCGAACCCAACCGTTGTTGGAATTTAATGTCAAAACAAAACCAAATTCACAGATTCTTGTGGACCTTTTTTTAACCTTATCAAAAGTTGAAACCACTACTAATTCTTAGCCATTTATATATATAGTTTATAACCAACCAATAGTACTAAGCTCATAAATCATAATTACTATGGACTTTAGGAAGTTTATTTCCATTTAACCTTCAAAAAGATAATCAACATTCAACAACAATAACAATAACAAATTTAGTATAACTTCACAAGTAGAAATTTTGGAAGATCAAATATATGTAGATCTTATCTTTATCCTTATGACATAAAAGAGGTTATTTTTGATAAATTCACAACTCGAAAATATATATTACTTATTTAGTTTGAAAGAAGTGCAAGAGTAAAAATTATGATAAAAACATTGAAAAGTGAAAGCACAATTAAATAAATGCTTCCGACTAGAACTATGCTCTATCACTAAAAGGAAAGAAAATACTTAACTATCCGCTAATTGTCTAATCTAATCCTCAATCTCCATACTTTCTTATGTAAAGTCCTATCCTTGATGAGTTGAATATACGTCATGTTCTGTTTAATACGTTGTCCCCTAATTTTTCTTTGATCTACCTTATTTCAAAGTTATCGCTACCAACCTCTCGCACCTCTTATACTACTCTCCACACACTTTAATTATCTCTTTCTTAATTTTCTAATCTTATCATTCCTAATATGTCATGTACATATAGAGAACCTGTGATTTTTTTACTGATCACACCAACCCCATACAACACACTTCATCTAACTACCCTCTGTAATTTTATTTTATTTTTAAATCCTTTTCATTTGTTTGGTTGGTGAATGAAGGGAAAAAATTAAGCAAGAAACTGGACATACCCAAATAAAAATCTTGATTTTCGATCAGGGCTTTCGACAAGAAGCAGGCGAGAGCAGAAATTGATAAGGACTTAAGGAAATGGCTATGGTTTCTAACACTAACTCATTCTTAAAGGTATGAATCAAACTCTGTAATCTCCATCTTTTTGTTGTTGTTAAGCGTGTGGGTTTTTGATAATATTAGTAACATTGCAGTCACAGAGGCACCAAGTTTACTGCAGAAAGAAGGAGAAGGATAAGAGTCAAAATCCCCAACCCTATAAAGTCATTGAAATTTCACCTCCTCCCAAGAACCTTGGCATACGTTGCCTCCCCTCTGTAAGCATCATTTTCTCAAACCAATTTTTGCTTTTTGTGTTTGATGTAATGCTTATAGGCTCAAATGCTCAGCTAATTGATTGATTGGTGTTGTAGGGTCAAATGTCTGAGGGTCTATTGAAAACAGCCCCTCTACCTTCCAAGGTAGGGGTAAGGTCTGCCTACACACTACCCTCCCCTGACCCCCACTTGTGGGATTACATCGAGTATGTTGTTGGTGTTGTAGTTATAAGGTCAAATGTCATCTTACTTTTACTGGGAAGATTATAAAAGAGCTTTCTTTACTTTGGAATTCTTGTCATTTGATTGAATTAGAAATGTGGAGAGTAATTTCTTGGTTGGATAAACAAACCCAACTGGCGATTTCCAACAAGTAATTCATTTGGGGTTTTATGTATTTATGCTCAATATGCTGGTTCCAATTTTATTTCTTTATGGAGTTAACATACTTGGTTGATTGGCTTTTGTTGAATGTCTTAAATTTTTTTAATGGCATTCTTTTGGTCACGTTTTGGGATTAGTTCATGTTCCTTGTACGTTTATATGGGTGTTAACATCCTCAACTCCAAATTAGTTAGTGTCAGCTTTATGTACCTGCGGATACATTAGCTAAGAGAAGTGTCAACTATATGAATCCTCTATGTTCGTTACGCTATATTTGGGTTGATTTCCTTGCAAATACCTGTACTGTGGTTAGAGCAAATTTTGTGCGAATGTCCCCGCAGGATTTGGCTGGTTTGATCTAGACTGTAGTTGTGCCTCATAAGTCATAGCATATGAGCTACACTAGAATTAAGGATAGTAGTTTGGGAACTCTTTGGTATTATAGCTTAAAGAGATCATCTCTATGGACCACTAAGCTTATAACACTCTTGGTACTAACAGTACTTGTAGTTTTGCTTACAAAGAACCAAAACTAAGAGGGAAAATTTTCAAGTGAAAATCTGTCTTCTTGCTGGATGCTGAGTAATGGGTGAATTTCCATGCATGACATAAGAAAAAGGGCAGATGTTTGAAGGCGCACTAGTTGGCTTCCTGTGATAGTGTCTCACATTCCATACCTACTTGAATATAGACGCTGGTCTATTGATGGCAAATGGTTTTATGTGAGATCTGTTAGAATTAGATACCTTCACATATGTTAGACCTGTATAAATGACTAAATGTGTCCAAAGCTGCAGTTCTTTGTTATTTATTGTGAAGGGGTGAATATAACTTGGTCGAAGTCTGTGACTCCTGCAACTTGGCGACACTAGACGTATGTATAAATCTCTTTTGAGTATTCTTTGTGTTGGTTGTGGATAACCTGAGCATTATGCCTTTGCATGAATTTCTGAGATCATGTTCGCAAAGCACTCAACTAGGTTATGGTATTCATGCCAACCATTTACGATTTCCTTTGCCTAAAACTTGACCTGATTCAGATCACAGTTGTGTTGCCAATCTTTTATGATTCCCTTCACCTAAAACTTGACCTGATTCAGTTCACAGTCGTCAACTTGACCAAGTTTTGGTCTCATTTTCAACATGATTTTTGCAATTTTCCAGAATAAAATGTATATAAAAACCGCAGATACCAACACTTCAATACAATTTTTAAGAATAAGATGATGTTTAGTCTTTATTTTCGAAAATCATGTTCAAAGAATTTTTTTTTTGACTTTTCGAGAAGTAGGGAATAAAGGGATAGATTAAAATTACTATAGAAGATATATGGTCTTCCCGCCTTAGGAGTAGCACTAAAAGAGGGATTAGCATTATTGACCCAATGATAAAGCACTAACACCTTCCTCGTTGGGGCTCCGCGCACTGGGAAAAGGCTGACACGACGGGAAACCGGCCACTAGTTACAAAGCTCCGATAAGGTATCGAGAGGGCTATCACAGTCAGGTGAAAGCTTCCTTCCTTCTAATTCATAATTTCCTTTTGCAAGGATTGCAATTTGAGAAAAAGCACAGAACACAACACAACAGAGGTAGAAAATAGAGAAAGCAGTATATTGTAGTTGTGGACTAGTGCAGCCACTTAAGCAGAGGACTGGAGCTTACCACTGATAGGGAAGTGTAAAATTTGTGGTGAAACATCATTGGCAGGACATGTAAAGAATTGCTGACTTAGGTTTAAGTTAGCATTTCTACTTGAGTAAAGTCACTAGGCTAACGATTTGTTACAGTAAAGTTTACTTAACCATGAGGTCTCGGGTTCAATTCCCAATGGAGGTAAAAAACACTTGGTGAAGCTAGTGGATGGAGTTACCCAGTACCTGTGCTTGTGCTGGTGGAAACAGCAGGTACCTCGTGGAAGTAGTCAAGCTAAAGTTGATCCAAATACCCCGGTTATAAAATAACAAAACAAAAAAAAGGTAGTTTTGTGACTTTAGTGTTACAAATAGTTAGTTTAGTGACTTTACCTTAATAAAAATAGTTTTGTGACTTGAGTGTTATGAAGAGTAGGTTAGTGATGGTAGGTGAAATTAACCCTACTCGTTCGTTGTTGAAAAGGTAAAGTTGGGCTGCTACTTATTCAAGGGCCCACAGTTAGCAAGTTTTTGCTTTAGCTCTAGATCGTAGAATTGAAAGGTAGATGCCTGATATGCTTGACTTCCAGTGCTAGGGTCGTTGTGTCTGCATTAGCACACTTGCCTAAAGCATTTGTACTTTTATTCAAGCCTTAATGTGTTACTAGCCGATGATATTTTCTGTTTAGGATGTGAAGGCTGAAGCTTCTTTAATTCTATTATTGATCTGTCTTTTATTCATCTGCTGGTTTCTTTTGGGCCCCTTTAGCTGGTCCTTCATTCAGAGCCAGTCATAGGAAGCTGTATATGATAGGTGTGTGTCAGAACAATTATTCTCCTTAACTTTTTCCCTGAATCAAGTTTCAAAATGGTAATGATGGCATCATAATTATCCCCATGACTGAACGAATCCTATGGGAGAACTAGGGAAGGAAGCAATATGATATTGTTCCTCGGTGAAGCTCCAATTTTGGAAGGTTGAATGCCCTGGGTTTGGGGAGTGGGGGGGAGGGAACCATGTATCCTGCATTAAGCACAAACAGGAAGAAGTACCATCAAAGGCTAGGTCATGTCTGTGGTGTGCAAGACAAAGGTATATGACATTAAGAGGAATGATCTTCCTATTTCGTTTCGCTAGAAGCAAATTTTGAGCTCTGAGGTTCCTTTTTGAAGATGAACAGACCTCTATTATAAAAAAATAGAGGTGTTCCCTACTGTTGATAAAATTATTTACCTTATAAAATAATACAAACCTCTATTATCATTCATCCTCGAATTGGCTGTACTTATTCTGTTCTTGCAGAGAACAGAAGAAACAAATCACTTGGTTTATCCCTTTGGGGATATCCGATAAAATTGTAAATATATCACAGGGTTCAATGGTTCACCGTAAAACCTAAAAGTGGTTAGTAGCTCTGAATTTTCAACTGGCTGAATGAAATGTCATCAAACTCTTTGTGCATTTAAAGTTTATGATCCTGCTTACTTGTGAACCTTTTTTATTTGTTATTGTCTACCTTTTTGGTTCACCCAGAAAGATGAATGTAGAAATATAGGTCATCTGTCAGAAAATACAGTCAATAAGAAGTGATTTACCTGTTCATGCAACCACGATTATATTATTCATGGTGTTTACACACTTTATTGGCAGTTTCATTAAGAGTTAGAACTACGCATAAAGCTTGTGCTTTTCGTGTTCCAATGTAATACTCACATCTTAGCTTGACGTGAAACTAAGCTAACCACACACACTGCATCAGATGCTTTTCATATATCCAACATTCATGCCATACAAAAAACATGTGACCTTTCTGTCATGTTTCCAATAATGCTTCACTAATTCATTGAAACTGGCTACATGCATAGGGCCTACATAAGATTTTTGAATTGACAGACGTCCAACAATGCCTTTCGCAATTGGGGTATAGTGTTTTATGGTGTCTAGTCTAATAGAAAGTTAATTTCAATGACAGAACTTGCAGTGTGGAGAAAGTGTAACCATTGAAGGCCGAGCTTACACCATTTCAGCTGTAACTCATCGTTATCAGCTTCGTAAAGGGAAATACGAGCCTAGTGAGAAGAGGCTTGATGTGTTGTCTACTGGAAGATACATCTTAAATTTGTACTTGGAAAATTTGCTAGAACAATCTTGACTATGATGTAGATTACTCTTTTTCCCTTCATCTTTATGTATACATTATGAAATACAACTTCATTCAATTGCCTTTGTCAAATGAGCTCGTTTGATATTTTTGCTTGCAGTATGTCTCAATCATACATCATATCTCAACAGACACGTAAGATTTCTTTCGATCTTAGTGGTATCAGGTATTCAGTGAAATAGTCAAACTGGCTTAAACACTACTGTTTCCAAGTACATAAAAACAAAGGAGAATGTTACCATAGAGGGGAAATTTTTTTATAAAAAGAAGGGAATTGGTACTATATTTATGTTGTTGATGGTAATGGAAAGTTTCCTACATTGAAGAGCTTATGGTGGTGAATGATATGGGGGAATAAAGACTCTCATTACAATGACAATGATGATTGGGTAAAAGCATAAAGCATGTATAGTTGATTGCAGACAAAAGGCCCCCAAGATAGCAAGTACTGTCTCACTATCTTTTTCTGCCACGTGTCATTACAACATTTATTCAAGCAAATTATTATTTACACTATATATGTATGAAGCAGACTCTTTTCTTCTACATACAATATAGGCTATCGACTGATTGACCCCCTTTTGAATTTTCAGCCACAAATATATAGTTGCATATACAACTTGTCCAAAATAAAGCTCATGAGGAAATGATGGGAGGTATGTTGTTTATCCTCCCTACATAATCCTTAGAATTTCATTGATCAAGACTAATTCACTAATTAAGAAAATTATCTATCGAAAAGTTCTTGTTCATTGGAGTTGAAATTTGTGACATTGATTTAAATGTTAACACTTTTTACTGATAATAATAATATATTCAATGAGATTTAGTAAAGATAGATTATACACATATCTTAGCTCTCATCTAACTCAGAAGTAGAGAAATTGGTTTCTATAGATAGGCGTGAAATGGATTTTTTTTCTTGTTTTCAGTGATTATTATTCCCAAGTGAAGGATGCATTGCCATTGACCTATGCTGTTATAAAAATTTAATTTCTAAAACAGAGCAATTTAACCGTACAATATTTTGTTGTGTTGTTAGTTTATGCATTGAGTTCTTTTGGCGTATACATTAATGGAGTAATAGTAATAATAATAATAATAATAATAAAAGAATATAATAATTAAAAGAACACGACAGGCGGTCCACATGCGACGGTTCCGGTTCACGTGCGTGCACATGTAATACCCCTTTCCCTGTCCCGGTTCAACTTTGGTGCCTCTTATCATCCCATATAATTATTTATAGTACATTAATACTACTATTACTTTACTAAATTTAGTGCAATTTTGTAATCTAATCTACCATTCATAACTAGTACTATTACTATTACTATTACTATATGTCAAATTTTAACTTTTCCATTAACAACTTACACATTTCCCGATTCACCCATCAGGAGAAGGATAATTAAAAAAATATTTTATTTAATTTGTTCATGAGGAACTTAAAATTAATATGAATTTTGAATTGAATAAGTATATACATGTGTGTGTTTTTTCATATATATTTATATTTAACTCGTAAATTCATAGTTGTGTTGGATGTGTTACACATGATGAATTAAAATTTTCATTTGTTAGTTGAAGATACATGTTTTAGTAGCATATAGTTAGGTTTATGCTGATATGACAAGGCAAGAATGTGCAATTTTTCTAAAGAGAAATAAAGCATAAAGGGAAAAGTCTCATTAATAGTTAAAAGTCAACCCAATAAAAAAATATCATTCTAATAAAATTGGAATTTACCCAATCTTGAAAATATATGATTGGCATTTAGGAGGAAGGTAAAAACTATATTTTCTTTTCAAAATTGAAACTTTACACTTTAAGTGATTGATATACGATTAAATTGCAATTATGAAAGCTTAATTACACAAACTTAAAGTTAGTAAATGTAAAAGCAATATGCGTCATAAGATTATCACAATTTTTTTAAAAACAATTTGGATCTTAATTACAATCATATCAATTGTAGAAATTAAGTCATAATCTAAAAGAATTTCCTTCGAATATAGTTCAAATAAGGGGAAAAAGTGATGATTGTGGATTATTAAAAGTTGAAAAGTATATAACAAAGCCAATAAATGTTACTTAGTAGGTTGTTTACCCACGTTATTCGTAGCTTGGAAATATGCACAACCAAATAGCTTCCTTTGAATTGCTTTGACCTTCAAGCCACACATGTCAGACACGTCATTACTAAGAGATGATTTGATACGTCAATTAAATTATTTTTGGACCAATTTATTCCATTGAGATCTATATAAATTTATTTTAAATATTATGGTTAGTTAACGATACAAATTTATCCCAATATCTTTCACCTTATTTAGCTTACAAAACAATCCCTAATTCCTAATGTTACATCCTCCATTCATGTTTGACTTGATACATCCTTTAATGTTGAAAAATAAAATTAAGATACTTAACAATAAAAGTAAAATAGGTACTCCATAAAATAATAAATTATTTTTTAAACTGAACAGTTAAAATAAATAAATATTTTTAATATAATAATTGATAAATAAATGTGGATGATTCAATGTGAAGAAACAGTCGCTTTGTTCACCAGAATTTTCTTACCTTTTTATTTTTGTTTTAAAATTAAATGACATATAAGTATTATTATAGTATTAAAAGTTAAGATCGTGTATTATTTCATTTTTAAAATAGCTTTTACTCAAATTTAGTTTCTAACAAATATGTCATATAATGTCAAAACTAGGAGCAATATGCAAAAATATGATAAACAACTATTCTTGGGACAGTTTTTTTGTACATATGTATATATTTTCAAGTCTCTTTATTCATCTTATCTTATCATATTATTGATTGATTGATAAACAATAATTGAAGTGATTCTATTTTTCCATTGACACCTATGCTTTCAATTGAGTAACGTACCTGGAATTTATTGTATATTTCAAATTAGAATTTTGAATTTTTAAAATCTCAACCTATTTAATGAAAACATGCTTTTTCACTTGCATGTAATTCAGAGGTTCTGTCACACTCAAAATATCTGCAGTAACTACCCGTCACTCTGAGTAAAAAGAATTCAGCAGTAATTAAAAAATAATTTTTACTTATTCAATTTAAATAATTCAAAAATAATTTACCATTTTATAAAATATTATACATTGCACTTCAAAAAGTTTGTTGCTTTTGAAATAGATCAAAATAATATAAATTGTAAAAAATGTACTTTCAAATTATACATTTTCTATTCTCACAGTTACGGTTAATAAATATCTATATAAAAAAATTATTTTCGATAAATTTAAAGAATTAAAATTACTTAGATAGTATTTAAGGGACTATTTAAATATACTACAAAAGATAAAAGATCATTTTTATCATTTTCTCCCAAGAATTATATTAAACTTTCAATTTATTTGGCTTGATCTGATTATAAGTGTCAAATTAACTTGTATTTAGAGTGAATTGTCAAATTGGAATGAAATCTTCTATTTTTTCTATCTATTTAAAAAATTGCATAAAAATATTAATACTATAAGTAATAATAGTCAATGATTAAAAGTAAGTAATTATTAGTAAAAAAAATTACGATCCTTTTATGGTGTATATAGTAAAAATAAGACAAATGAATTGAAACGGAAAAATATTTGTTTTTTGTTTTGGTAGTTTACCGAAGAAAAGAAGCATCGTATAGGATTACAATATAAGCGTTTACGAAAAGGTGAAGATGAAGGAGAAAACAGAGTAAAATATAGAAAGAGAGAGAGAGAGAGAAATCTGATGTATCAATTTCTTCACTAAGCTTTTCATTTGCCTTTTTGCTTTGTTTGTTGTGAGTTTTGTTTGATTGATTCATTTACTCTGTTTCTCTATCCTTTATTCGAAATAATTAGATTACTCAGTCACTCACATCTATTAGACTCTTTTTATTGTTACGATCGGATCTGAAAAGGGGAGAGGACCCAGAAAGAAAAAGGTGCAAAGCTGTTTCCCTTTTTAAGCGGAAAGGGTCTCAATAATCATGGCACATCATTCGTTTTTCTCCATTTGATTATCAGGTGATTTCAACAACCTATTACTCTCTCTGTTCACTTTTTTTTTTGATTTATTTGTGGATATACAACTTTCTGTTGATCCTTTGGAGGAATTGTATGATCATTTTATTCTGATTAGTTCTGTGACTTTTCTGTTATTCTATGTAAAGTTTTGTAATCAATGCTGCATTATGAGATGATGGAATCAATTCATGTAAAGAATTATTCAAACTTTAGTTGAAAATTGTGAAATTTGAAAAAAGTACTTAATTTTGTTTTCAAAATGGAAATTGGAGTTATATATGACCGTGAATACAAGTTGGACTTGTTTTTGAATTTTGTGACTAATTTGGAGTGAATAACTTTTTTGGTATTTTTCAAATTCCTGGATGAAGTTGAATTCCGGATTTTTTCAGAATTTTATGTTTCCAGAATTCAACTCCGGAAAAAAGTAAAAAAGTATTCATGGTCAAACTGTTAAGTAGCTAATTTTTCTTCACTTTTAATTGCGTAATGGCAGTGTTTACACCAAAGAATACAATGGAGTCTCTTGTTGATGGAATCAGTTCCTTGCCAAATGTTCACAATTCATTCGCTGCGGTCGAGTGCAATACATCTTTGGCCTCCAAGATAAGTCATCCTCCTTTGATGAAACAATCCGAAAACAAAGAGTCATCTATCTCATATCCAATAGCAATGGACCTTGGTTCCAACACAGCTCATACTCAAACCGGATCAGTGACTGGTTCAAAGCATTTTGAAGCAAATGAAGATACTGTAAATCAATTAGCAGAAGGTTGTTCAGGAGAGCAGGTTTTGGCTTTGGAAACTGAATCATCTATCAAGGATTTACATCATGTTTCGAAGAATAGTACTTCAAACGATGATTTGAATGCTGCTGCTGCCAAAGGATTGCCATCTGAGTCAGGAATCACCTATTGTCCTAGTCCTCAAAACAGTTTTTATTCTGCTACACAGTACACAGAAGCCAAACAAAGTTTTTCCAACACAGAAGTCAGTGAATGTGCTAGCAGCACTGTGG